ACTGCTTATTTTATTCTTGTGCTTTTGGCTTTTCCTATCTGAGGTGAATTTATTGTTTTGAATTATCGGTCATCCTGTGGTATTTTTTTCTGTAAATGTTGCTTTACTATAATTTGAAATAAAGAGGCAATTTTTTTATTCTCTTACTCACATGTTTGGTATTCATGTTCTATTTTTTTTATATCATTGACCTGGGGTGGTGATGCACTAGGCAATATTTTGGGTAACTCTGAAGGGCAATGGTGCCCAGAAAATTGCCTCAGTATTGCTACTTTCAACCTTTTAAAAAAACAGCAGTTTTACAATGGTTTCATAATTTTCTTATGGTTTTATATTGTTTAATAAATAACTAAGCTGTCAGATCCTAGTAAAGGCTTGCTTAAAAGTCATATTATACAGAAAAAGATGTGCTGGCATTAAAACAAACATAACTACTGAATGAAAGCAATAGATTGATAAAATAGTAATAAGAAATTATTTCCAGTTCAAATGTATTTAAAGACCAGATTTATTACAGAAAAGTGGACTTGGTGTTAACAAAGTTGAAAATTTTGAATACACATAAGAAATATTTAACTAAGTAAACCCTAATGCTTACAATAATTTTAATTTCCCTATAATAAATTAAATAATTTGAAGAAAGCAAACAGTTCTGTGAATTTGGTTAATTGTGTAAAATTTATTAAAAAACACACAAAGAAATTAAATATTGGTAATAACTAAAACTGAAACAGAATAACAAAAACAAAAAAGTCAGATCAATTAAATACATCTTTATGTGATAAAAAAAAAAAAAAAACAGCCAGACTCTCAGTTGCCTGAAAGTATTCAGGAAGGCTGCTCCACATGTGGGAATTGTTAATAACAAAACTGCTAAACATGATTGTTCACACCTTAGGAAATCTAAAATAACTCTGGGGGTCCTGAGGGCCTGTAAAGTGAACTAAATGAATTAAAAGTAACTAGTAGCACCTCAAAAATCTATAACTCTAAACTTGCCTTTAGTGTGACTTCAGCTTGACTTCAGAGGAAAGAAATCAAATAAGCCACACATCTTAACGCTGTGCTTCAAGGTCAACAGAATAATTTTACAATATCAGAGAATACATATACGTATAAATAAATACAGAGGTAATCCAATTTAGAAATAAATTATGCTTTTTAATTAGATTTATTTCCTGTTTAATTAAATACTCAAACATGCTTTATCTCAACATTCTTTACTCTGTGGTAACTGTCTTTGCTATTGCAAAGACAGGATATTATCATTAAAAGCTGACTGCTAAACCTCATTGGTGTAAAATCCTCCACAACAGCTTTCCTGTGTAATATTAAAAGTCCTGTTTAACTTGTTAGAGATATCAGAGTTTATTAAAAAAATATATTTAAAAATGTTTTCCAGAGAACCACATTAAACCATATAAATTGGATACTGAGTGGGGCAGGAAGAGGCAGAAAATGTGTTAGGGGCTGTGAAGCAAGGCTCAGGACATAGGCTACAAATGTCATTACTGATAAGCTACAAATCAGTTGATCAATCTGTCATGGGAATGCATATGGGCGTGAAGTAGCTTTCAATAACTGCCACTAATGGAACATATTTGGAGTCTAATTATTTGTCTCAATAATTAAATCTCAATAAGTTATTTTTTCTTTCAATAAGTGCATTTGTTCTTGAATGGAGGAGGTAGTTGAGACACTTTGCCGTTGGACCAAGAAAAATGTACATTTAAAATAAGAAAAAACAATTTCATTGTCTCATTTCAAGTGCATATTACATACTAATTCCATTGGGAAGTCATCTTATTTACCTAATTAAATTTTGACTTTTTTTCTAGATCGTTTTTGCAGTGCGAATTTTTTCCTTTTTCTGAACCTAAAAAAATGACATGCATAAAAACAGGCGAAGTGACTCCATCAGCCACCTATTTAGCTGAAGCCACCTAATGACTTTAAAGTGAGGCGATATACACCTCTGGCAGACTTCAGGGCGCCGTCCCTCAGGGTCTTTCAAGGATGTGCGAGGTCTTCAGTGGTCCCACAATAGAAGCTCAATGGATCCCATTGATCTCACTGATACATGGGCTTTGATGTCGCTTTGAGGATGCAAATTTACAGCTTTACAAGCAGAGGAGGGAGAGCAGAGGGACGGAAGGCCGGGTGGAAACATTCCCCAAGCAGCATGCGGATGCAGAATCTTTCAGGTCCGTCTGGGTCGGTAGTTCGGCTGGATGGGCGTGGTGGTGATGGTGGTGTGGATTAAAGGAGGTGGAGCGTTAGTGGAGGGTTGCTGGGAGCTGTTCAGCACAGGGGTGCTGAAACAGAAAACCGGGACATGTGATCAGTAGAGCTGACCGCAAGCTGCACCAAAGCCAAGACCCTTAGAAAATGTTTGGGAAAAGCCTTCTTGCAGCCTGCGCATCCTGAAGATGTTCTCTAATCCCTCTTGTTACCTGATTCCCATAGGCTATGTTGCTGCGCGGCTCCTGCACATTCAAATACTTCTTTATTTGGGCCACTTTACTAAAGCATGCAGATCATTTTATGTTGGTTTTATATTAAGACGAACATATAGTACAAAAGCACAGATGGATTTAAATCGATTTGGGTGTCTCTTTTCTCTTATTCATATTTGTTTAATGCTGATAATATTTAGTTAATATAGTAATATCACTCAAAGCTTAACCAGCTTTGCTGATTTAAAGAATGACATCTAATTAGATTCAATTCAGTTCATATATTTAGCAGTAATTTGAAAAAAAAAAATGCCTAAATCTAATTTCACATAGAGTCTAAATTCATTATTATCCTCATACAATAGTAAAAGTCTGATTATTATTCAAATTGAATAAAACATTTCCAGGTTAACCAAATCATCTTCGCAAAATCAATCACTGTAGCATCTGTGAATTTTCACATCTTGTCCCTGATTCTCAGTCAAATTTAGCTCCTTTGTTTTACTAAGCCGTTCCAACAAATAATTGTGGTTTCTTCTAAACTAATTCTTCATAGATATGGTTATGTATAGGATCACTGTCCTTCGTTGCAGAACAATCTGATGGTAATGGGTTTGCATTGTTTTAAGAGATAGAAAACATTCCAGACTTTCTAAAGAACAGATGACCTCATGTATTCACTTTCCTCTCTGAATATGAGATCTGAGTTCAACCTAAATCTTTGTGTGGCTCTGACGATGGCCTGCACTCTCTCCCTGTGAGCTTTTCCAAACTCAAATTAAAAAACAATTACCTGAGATTGTCCATGGTAGAAGAATGATGGAGTGGGCTGGCAAGGATTTGTATTAACAATAAAGTTGGCTGTAAGATTCCTTACAGTGATATCCTCAGTGACTTTGCAAACAAAACAAAAAAAAAACATGTTTTAGGGAGTGAGTGGAGTCCTTAGGGAGAACAGTGTAACATAGAAGGTTATGTCTGGGTAAAGGTAGTTTATGGTTATAAACTGAGATTTTGTATATAGTTACATGTAGTTTTAGACTTAGATTCAACTTTGTGCATCCCTTGGGATTAATCCTTCTAGGAAATTCTGATTCCAGTATAGCATATCTAGGCTACAAAGAGTTAAAGCAAGGTGCCATTTAAGATAAAAATATGACAGAAATATAAAAAGAGTGTATATACAAAAAAAGCATTTAAAAAAAAGAAGTTGTAATGCTCTGGAAAAAAAAATCTGCACAGTAGAAATCACAGTAGAAAGACTTGCACTGCAGAACTTTACTGACCATATAAATAAGTGAAAATTATACCGACTACACAGTAGTTGACTTGGACTTTTAAGAGTTAAATATTTAACTTTAAATCTCTTTTCGTGAAGTTTATTGTAATTCATTTATTTATCAAGGCTATTTTATCTGTTCCTGTGTTGTTCTTCTTGTACTAAAAGTTATTTTTGCACATTGCTGCTGCAGTTTGACCCAAAAAATATAAACCACATTGTACTTTTATTGTAAATAACTGGCTAATCATTAATTTGTTTACTTTTAGAAACACTAAATGAATCATACAAATAGGAGACTAAAAACAGTCGTGCTAAATCTGCAGTGGTTTGATAATAGGTGTACGAATAATGGGATTATTGGATGGGGGATAACAGTAACCAATATTATTGGATGAAATAGAGAGCCCCAGATCAACTTAGGGCCCCATAGAGGCTTGGACTGGCCCTGCTAACTTTTAATAAAATCTGTGACAATCTCAGTGAAATTATCTAACAAAAACACACTGACTTATAGTTTAAAACACCATTTGTGATATCAGATTAGTTTTAGCTCCAGTTTTCAATCAGAAAATCTCATTAAATAATATATTTATTTTTTTCTGAATGCTGCACTCTTCAAATAGATCTCAATGGATTAGATCCTCTGAGGAAACAAACTCCTAGACTCTCTGGAGCCAGGTCTGGAGACTCATGTGGTGAAATGTAAACTCATCAATGAGTGGGTTAATTAGGCCTAATTGTCGACCATGATCTCCTAGTTAGCAGGCCTTTGAAGTGCAGGAATGGGGACAAACAGGCCCTATGGAAGGGGGTTCAGAGGATTGTCACTTTCTATTGACAAAGGCTCTGAGACTTCATTGTAACATTGATGTTGGATGCCATTTACATCCAGTATCCACTCTGATTTAACTCACTGAGAACATTTTGAGCTGGGGCTAAATCAGCAGACCCACAGTATTTTTTATCAACCCCACCACCCCCACATTTAAAGATGAAAGAAAGGATGATCCATTCATGGGAAGCTAATCCTGCAATAGATTATGTGATCAACTTTATCTCTGAGATGCAGCTGCAGTGATAGCACAATGTGCAAAGCAATAGACAAGACTGTTTCCTTCAATGATGATGAATAACTTTATTCAATTATAAATAGATCTCTTTGTAATTATACAGCTTATGTACAAAACAAAACTTCACAAATCGGATTGCACAATTCTGGATTATAAGTGTCTAAGTGGGCATAAAGAGTTTGTTGGGCGGTTTTATTTTAAGTAAAAATGGGGGTGCTGGATCGCCAGCTGAGGCGCCGGGTGGAGATTCATCTGTTGCGGCAGAACCAGATGCGGGACTGGAAGCGGGTAAACACTCCGGCTGGGTGCGGTATAGTGAGCCCGCTGCGCTGCCATGGGGTGATACTGAACAGGATGCAGAGGCGCAAAGGTCACCGCTGGGATTTGAGGAGCGAGATAGTCCTGGACCTCCCGTTTCAGCTTCATCCGCCGGTTCTGGAACCACGTCCTAACCTGCAGAGGGAACAAAGGTGGAGATTTCATTTAGCGCGCTGCGTCACGAACAGGACCCGACTTCCTCATGTCATAGAACACTGACAAAAATAATGCATCCGTTTTAATCAAATTTAGGTACTTTAACACAATTGTTTAATGTTAGCAGTGTAGGACATAAAACAAGTGTGTTAAAGTTACTAAATATAATTGGGTAAATGCCAAAAGCGGTTCCATTCTTTTTTTTTTTTTTCTTTCAGTGAATCAAAGTTGTGTTCATATATTACCTGAGTTTCTGTGAGGTTCAGCTTCTTTGCCGTCTTCACCCTTTCCCCTGCATCCAGGTATTTGTGTTTGCTGAATATCTTCTCCAGTTTGCTGATCTGCTCCGGTGTGAACTTTGTGCGCACTCGGCGCTGCGGCGCGTCTTTCTCCGCCTCGTTCCCTTCATCCACGGAGGGCCACTCGGAGGATGCAGCTTCGCTCTCATATCCAGATGAATACCCGCTCACTTCTGAATCTAAAAATAGGGAAAATATACGGTTACTGATCAAGAGCATGTATGAATAATTGAAAAATAAAATAAAATAAAAACTCAACAACAAAAAAAGAAAAACATCTATTAATCCAGAAACCTACTTGGAGAAAGGCAGCCTGCTGGATGTAATGGTGATCCCACGTTTGAGTTCTGATGTTCCCTGACCTCCTCTGGCTCACCAGGCTTTGCGGCCTTTGACGACTTGGGTTTTGGCTGCAGATAACCTTTGCCAAAAACCGGTGCGCTCGGCTGAACCATGCAGGGAATATGAGGTCTGTGCGTCAGGGCAGCTCTTTGCTCCTCCTTCGCTGCCCTGCTGTGGTGGCTCTGTGCCAGCCAGTCCACGGAAAAGTATTTCACCATGTTCACAGTGCTGCTCGGTGACCTGTAAACGCACCAAATGTCACAGGGAAGAGTGCTGTGGCAGCTCTCCGGCCTGCAGCCAAGGTTTTATAGCCGCCCTGGACACTTGCAGTCATTTGCATATGTAGAGCCCCTTGTTAACGCGCGATCGATCCCGATGATTGGGGGATAATGGCTCGTTATTGAAGTCTTCACATATCCTGTGAGCGTGTGAAGACCTGGCGCCACCGAGTCTGCAAGGGCCTTCCTGAGCCTTTACATTTGTCCCAGACTGAAACTGGGAGGGGAGGGGGACTCCCTCAAACAGCTGGGGGGCCGCACAGCTGCATACAGTAAAGTGCATCGGTAGGAAAACAGGACTGGGAAGTAAGAGGACTGTATTCTAAAGACTTAAAATTACCTTCCTATAGCCTACCTGACAGTAGCAGCCATTAGTTTAATTATGACACATTTTCACGCACTTCCCACGAGGTTCCACTTTGATCCATTTTTAGACAATGAACAATACAAAAATATATTCTTATATATATTCTCTTCTTTTATTGAAACACTTGTTACTTTAAAAGTTTAGATTGTGACTCTCAGTGGCCTGATACACTGTAAAAAAAACAAATGGTTGAATCAGTACAACTTTTGAAAAAAAAATTGCAATCAGTATTTTAGAGACAAGACAAATGTATGTTTAAAAGCTAAAGTTAAATTAAATACATGATGCTCTTCCTAATGTTAAAGGTTCTGAGATAATTTTAACAATTAAATAAGTAAATAAAAACACTTACATGTGTTTATTTACACTAAAGACATAACAGTTAAGGTTTATATTGCATTTTTAAATTTGTGTATTTCCTGTTTGGTACCTTACCAACTTGTTTTGTTTGTATGACAGCCATTGTGGAAAACAACTTGTGAAGTTGGACCAGCTAGCAGAGTGAGGTGCACAAGAACCAGAGATGGCAAAAGTACTCACTTTCCGTACTTGAGTAAAAGTACAGATACTTGTGTTAAAAAATACTCTGGTAAAAGTGGAAGTACTGA